CTTGCACCCTTGACCCCATTCTGCTCCCCATCACGGCCACAAGCTCCGTGTCCCCGGGTTTGTCCATGGGAATGATGGGTTTGGGTCCCTGAGCAGCTCCAGGTGCTCCATCCAGCCAAGGAACTCGCCTTGTTTTCTTCCAGGGAAGAATTGGGATCTTGAGATTTGCTGAGCACCCTTTGTGTCATTCCAAGACCCCACTGGGTCACTCAGATCCCAGGATGGAGGATTTGGGGCTCATCCCTAAATTTTGGGGGATTTAGAGTTGGAGGAACATTCCAAGAGCCAGATCCAGCACTAGAGAGGGGCTGCTCTGGCAGAGCATGTCAGGAATCTCTTGGATTAGGGTTGCCCCTATGTGTGGAGCGATGAGGACGAGGGAAGGGGTAAAGACACCAGCTCTTCCGTGAGGGAATTCATCCCAAATGCCAAAATTGGAGGAGAAAGAGCCAATTTCCAGCTTTCCTTGGGCTCACTTGGATCCCAGCACATCAGGGGATCTCCAGCATTCTCCATGCTGGAGAGGAACATGGAATAACTGTGGAGCTGTGACCTCCCTGACCTTCCTCTCCCCCTCTCCCAGCCAGACCGTGCTTACCCCAACATCCAGCCTTCCCCTGGCACCCGGAGCGTGGGAAACGTGGGAAACACCTCCAAACCCTCTGAGGATCCTCAGGGGCTTGGCCACCCCCAAGCAGGATTTAACCTGCTCATTTGCATGCCTTCATCACCTCTAATTAAATCTGTGTGGTGCCACAGTCCTCTCAGCCCCCACTCCCCCTGGAAATCCCCAGGCTGGGCTGCCAGGATGATGGATGGTGGGAAGAAAACAGGATGGGTCCCACACACAGGAGTGGCCATGGGCACGTTGGTTTTTCCCTCTTCACACTAAAAATAAGAAGGTTGTTGCAGGTTTGTGGCCAGAGCCCTGGGCTGTAGAGGAAACCCAGCTCTTTCTGTGGCCATGGAGCTCCTGGCCTGTCCCTGGCCTGGCATCACAGCCCAAGATCACCCAAGTGATGGGTCCCCAACGCTCTGCAGCACGTGCAACTCCCTCACTGAAATCCAAAAAATTTCTATTTCAACCTCCTCAAAGCAAAAAACCAATGGTGTGAAGGTCACGGGGCTCCAGCCAGGAGCCACCAGCTGTGTCCAGCTGTGGACACCCCTGGCTGAGCCAGACATGGGCACATCACTCCCAGAGTCCCCCAGATGTCACCCACTCACCACCCTTTGGAAAAGGGAGAGGGGAAACCAATCAGCCTCCAAGGATGTCACTGGGGGGGTGGGAGAAGCCAAAGGGTTAAAAAAGCCCCAGGGACTTTTTCCTGTTGCTCTGAAGAGATGGGGCCAGCAGCACACTGGAAAATCAGGACAAAGCAGAGCCATGTGGGCCAGGAGCCCACAGGACAAGGCTGAGACCCCGAGGGATTCACCCGGGGTGACCCCAAGGGTGTTCCCAGGGAATGAGGGTTTGGGGCAGCACTGAGAGGGGACCTTCAGGAACGGGACAGGACATGCAGCACCCAGTGACAGCCACCACAAAGGGACCAGCAGGGCGTTGGGGACCTAGCAGGTGACAGGGACCAGCAGGGGATTGTGCCAGGGTGGCTGTGCCAGGGTGACAATGCCAAGGTGACCATGCCACGGTGACAATGCCACGGTGACCATGCCAAGGTGACAATGCCAGGGTGACAATGCCACGGTGACCATGCCAAGGTGACAATGCCAAGGTGACAATGCCACGGTGACCATGCCAAGGTGACACCGCCAGGGTGACAATGCCACGGTGACCATGCCAAGGTGACAATGCCAGGGTGACAATGCCAGGGTGACAATGCCAGGGTGACAATGCCATGGTGACAAGGCCACAGTGACAATGCCAAGGTGACAATGCCAGGGTGACCATGCCATGGTGACAAGGCCAAGGTGACAATGCCACAGTGACAATGCCAAGGGGACAATGCCAGCGTGACCATGCCAAGGTGACAATGCCAAGGGGACAATGCCAGGGTGACAATGCCATGGTGACAATGCCACGGTGACCATGCCAAGGTGACAATGCCAAGGTGACAATGCCAAGGTGACCATGCCAAGGTGACAATGCCATGGTGACCATGCCAAGGTGACAATGCCACGGTGACCATGCCACAGTGACAATGCCAAAGTGACAATGCCAGGGTGACAATGCCAGGGTGACCATGCCACAGTGACCATGCCAGGGTGACAATGCCACGTTGACAATGCCAGGGTGACAATGCCAAGGTGACCATGCCACGGTGACCTTGGACCAGGGGCAGACCAAGCAAGGCATGGAGGCAGGATGACAGCGAGATGTCACCAAGCATCCTCTGTCTTTTCCTTTGTCACCCCTAAACAGCGTGGGCCCGGCAGCTGTGGCAGCTGGGACATTGGCTTGTCACTGCCACCACCCAGGAGTCCCCGAGGAGGGCAGGGCTTGTGCATTTGTGCACCTCCGGGGCTGTGCTTTGTGCCGTGCCATCCGTGTCATGCCACGCCACTGGTCTGACCTAGGGACTCTGACCCAAGAGTATCCCAGCCCCTGAGGGGTTAAACGTCCCCAGCCATCCCCAAATGACGGAGACGCTGGTCCCCAGCAATTAGGTGACAGATCCGGGTACACCGCAGCCCGGGCTGGTGACGTGAGGACGGATCCAGGCTGGCTGGTGGTTTGTCCCTGGCTGGCACCCAGCCCCCGGAGGCACAGCTGCTTCCCGGCCCCGCGGCTCATGGCACCTGGCCGGGAGCGATGTGTCACCGGGAATTCCGGACTCGGCTGCCTCTGTGGTCCCCCTCTGCCTGGCGAACCCCAAAATGCCGCGAGCTGTCTCTGGGGTAGGGCAGGATTGGGTGTCCCCGGCGGGAGCAGGGTGATGTCCCCACAGCTGTCCCCTGCTGGGTGTGGAGTGCCCTCCCGGGGCCGCAGGTTGAGGCCGTTTCCCTCCCAAAAGCGCTTTGGGGGCAGATTTTGCACATTTTGATGCTGGGGGATTCAAAACCTGAATTGGGAAAAGATTTCTGTGTCTCCAGAAGGCTCCGAGCCCCTCCCTGGCTGCTCCCAAGGGGGTTGGTGTCGCCTGGGGACTTCCCGACCCTGGGAAGGGCGAGGGGCACACAGCCAGGCTGGGGGCGTGCGGGGAACTGCTGCCTCTGGCTGAGAATTGAGGAGAAAAACACGAAAAAGGGGGTTTGGAGCGAATTTGCAGCCGCGGCCGTTCCCAGTTTACCCAGTGGGGTGACTGGGAGGAGCTGGGACGGGGCGGGGCGAGCGCTCTGTCCCTGCCGGGGCTGGGACGGGGGGGCCGCGCTCCGGCCGTGCCCTGGGCGCTGCCGGGGGGCTCGCAGCCGGAAATCGGGGAGGGGGCTTGGCTTTTGAGGGGATGTAACCCCAAATCTCCCACGGGGACCACAGGCGGCCCCTTGTGCCACCCTGTCCCGAGAAGTGTCACCCAAACGTCCCCAGCGCCAGGGACGCCGGCGGTGTCAGAGGCGCTGGCAGGACCCGGGACTCTGCACATCTGGGGCGCACATCTGGAGGGATGGCACGTGTGGGGAGCTGCGCACCTCGGGGGAACGATCGCACATCTGGGGGAGTGCCACACACCTGAGGCTCCCCAGCCGGGGATGGTGGCTGCACATCTGGGGGGCTGCACATCTGGGGGGTGACAGCGGGGAACACATCTGGGGGTGATACATCTGGGGGACACATCTGGGGGGACACAGCGGGGGAACACATCTTGGGGACACATCTGGGGGTGACACATCTGCGGGGACACAGCGGGGGACGCGGGAACGTGCTGCCCCCTCGTGGCCGCAGTGGGGACTGCACCCTGCCCCTCCCCGACCGGGGAAACTGAGGCACGACCGGCATCCCTTCCCCGCCCCTTGGGGGAACTCACAGCTCCCCAGTTCCTGCTCCACCGGCTGTGCCCTGCGTGTCTGCCGGCACTCCCCGAGCACTCCCGAGGGGGGTCGCCTGCTCCGGGTGACACTGGGGGATGCAGGACGCCGGGGTCCCCCCGCGGCGGGGTCGGTTTGGTCCGGAGAAAGAAAAAAGGAGAGAGAAGGCGAGTGGGGATGGGACAGCCTGAGGGACTGGGGAGCACAGATGGGACCCTCGGGGACACGGCCTAGCTGATCCATCACCTCTTAAATTGCACTGGAGAAGCCAAAAGGCTTAAAATGAACCCAAACCTCACAAGCCTGTGCCGGGAGATGTGACCCAGCGGGTCACTCCAACCCCACGGACACGACCCCGGCCACCCCGTGTCCCCCCAGCCCAGCTGACCCCACAGCTCTGGGGATGATGACTCCTGCATCCATCCTTCACCCAAATCCTGGATGCTCACCGCGGATCCGGCCCCTTCCTGGCTACGAACCACCCTGGGAGGATTTGCCTGGCAGTGGCAGCTTTGGGGTGAGCCTGGATTACACCGGCCAAGGGCACAGAGTCCTGCGGGTGGCAGGGCTGGGTCCTGCCAGGCGGGACGTCACCGCCACCCAGCCCGGGGCGGGGACCCTGGGCTGGGGACGCCGGGGCCGCGTTCCCCGCTGGGTGCCGCGGGGCCAGCACGCCCTGCCGCGGGTGATCGCGGAGGCGGTGGCTGTGCCAGGTGCTGGTGTCCCCAGCGTCCCTCCCCCGCTTTAACGAGAGGGCAAAGAGCAGCTGGGTGCGGTGCCGACGACAAGCCGTGTCCCCTGCCCCTGTCACCCTCCGCAGCCACGGCCCGAGCGGCAGAGCCAGGACCGAGGTGAGCGGGGACACCCCGGGGCAGAGACCCCATCTCGGGACATGGGGGGACGGGTGACCCCCGAGGGGCTGGGATGGAGCGGGGGGACTGGGAGGGAGGCTCAGGGCGGTCCCCGTGGCCATCAGGGAGACGGCACCGCCCGGGGTCGGGGACACACCGGGGGTGACACAAGGACCGTGCCCAGGATCCCACAGCAGCATCGAGACGCTCTGGCTGCTCCCCGGCAGGATGGGAGATCCCTTCGGCCGCTGGAGCAGCAGCCCCTCCCGGTGAGCGGCCAGCGGGCCGGGTCCCACCCTGGGGACCCCCGAGGGCCGGGCGGGACGGGGGGCAGGGGGTGTAAATGTCCGTCTCTCCGTCCAGGAGCGAATATGACGACAGGACCCCGCTCCGACATTCCAACAGCTTCGTCCGCCTCACCGGGAAGAGCATCTACAGTGAGTGAGGGCTGCACCCCAAAAACCCCTTTAGCCCCCCGCTACCGCCCCCAGCCTGTCCCTGTCACCTCACCCTGCTGTGCCCCCAGACCAGCGCAAGGACTACGGGCAGACCCTGCTCAAGCTCCAGAATGATTTCCAGTACCACGTTGAGGTAGAAGCCCCCAAAAACTGCCCCGCTCCCCCCAGCCTCGCCAGGGGCGCGTGTGACGCCGTGTGACACCGTGTGACACCGTGTGACACTGTGTCCCCCCCAGCACCTGCTGACGATGCCCCTGGAGCGGGAGCTCCGCAGCGCCGAGGATTGCCTGGGGCGCCTGCGGGACCTGGAGGAGCAGGGGCGGGTCTGGGGGCAGGATGTCATCCTGGAAGTCAAGGACCAGGAGCTGGTGCTGAGCGATGTGGAGAGCAAGGTACGCCCGGCCAGGGCACCCCCAAAGCCTGGCACCCTCTGCCATGGAACCCCTGAATCCTGGTGCCCCCCGAGCAGGGCACCCCCAAGGCCCAGCACTCCTCAGCCAAGGCCCTCCTTGAATCTCAGTACCCGCCGGCCAGGGCAACCCCAAACCCCCCGGCCAGGGTATCCCCTGAATGCTGGCACCCCCTGGCTATGGGAACCCCCAAACCCCGTCACCCCCTGGCTATGGGAACCCCCAAACCCGTCACCCCCTGGCTATGGGAACCCCCAAACCCCGGTACCCCCTGGCCAGGGTATCCCGCCACCCCCATTAAACCTCGCACCCCACAAGCCCGACCCCACAACCCCACCTGCAGCCCTTTAACCTTTAACCCTTTCCTAACCGTTCGAGGACTGGTACCCCGTTTTCTGCCGTGCAGGAGGAGCTGGAGGCTTTCCCGCTGGGAAGCGTGCAGGGATGCTCGGCCGGGCTGGACAACGCCGTGCTGGCCGTCAGCGTCCAGGAGAGGAACCCGCCGAGAACCAGCGTGCTGCTCTTCCAGTGCGAGCGGCTGGGGGTGAGCCCTGGGCGGGGAGAACGGGGGGCAGCCCCCCGGGATGGGGTCTGATGGCAGCGGGTCCGTGCCAGGCAGAGACGCTGAGGAGCAGCCTGGAGAAGGTGTTGAGGCAGAGGAAGGAGGAGCAGAGCAATCACTACGGGCACAGGTATGGGGGGTAAGTGGCTCTGCAGCCCCTCCCTGGAGACAGCTCGGCTGGGCCCCGAGTCTCGCTCCCCAGAGTTGTGGTGAGTCTGGCAGTGGGGTCTCCTTGTGGTCCCACAAAAAGCCCCCCAAAGTCCCCCTGCCTGTGGGCACACCCCCCCACCTGGGGGCTGAGGGGGGCCCTTTCTCCCAGTGGCCCAGCTCCCGGCTCAGCCCCCCCATCCTGCCCCCCC